ACGACAGGGCTCTTTGTCACATGGGGTGATCCTCCAACAGGCTTAGGGATAGCTGCTCACCTGTTCCTTGGAGGCAGTGTTTTGGGTGGCTTATGCTCAGGGGTCTAGGAGACTCCCCTCTGCGTCCCCCAGCCACGCACAAGGCTGCAAGCGCTGTGCACCTGTGCAGGTCTGGGGGCTCCACCTGGTTGAGGGGAGGGAGGGAAGTCGGGAACCCTAAAGCAATGGCATTTCTTAGCTGCAGTATCTCCTGAGCTTCGGAAAGGAAAGGAGCTCCCTCTCAGTAACAGATTGAGCTCTTTTAAGTGATTGGTTCCCGGCTCTAATGTGGAGGAGGGCGCACTACCAAAGCATACGGAAAATGAGCTTGCTGACTTCCCAGACTTCATTGGCTCTTGGCTTAGTTGGCACACGATTCTCATACGCTGGGTATTTCCCCAGTTTTCAAGAGAGTACAGACAGTAAGCGACGTACACGCTAGAAATGGGTGTTCACCCTCGGAAGGGAAAACAGCATGAATTCAGTAAGTATTTTTACAACAAATACTTAATGTTGAATCCCCGTATCGTGTTAGGTGTCAGGTGTCAGGGGTACAAGAGTAAGCAAGGAAGAGTTCTGCCCTCGTGGAACTTACAGGCATTCGAACCATGATGACTCAAACTACGACAGCTGTGAGAAAGGTTATGCAAGAGAAGCAGGTGCTACGAGGGCTTGTGGCTGGAGGGCCAACCCTAAATTGTTAGGATCAGGGAAGGCCTCCGGAAGAAAATCAAGCTGAGATATGAAATAAACACACAGGTCAGTAAGTAGCGGGGCGGGGCGGGGGTGTGTGTGTGTGTGAGAAGCTCAGAACTCAGGACCCTGTAAGAAGTTGGTGTAGCTGGGCAGAGAAAGCAGATTGGTGTGAGATGACCAGGGAGTGGTAGGCGGAGTCAGATCAGGCAAAGTTTCTTGGGTTCCATTAAGGATTCTCAATCCAAACCCAGACAGCTTGGACCAGGGAAGTGACGCAGATTTCCACCTTTATACGACCACTCTGCTTAGCATGTGGAGAATGGGTTAAAGGGACACAGAAGTGGAGGCAGACAGAAAAGAGGGCATTACTGAAGCCGAGGGGACAGCAGTGACACCTGTACCCTGGGAATGGGCAGAAAGTAAACTCAAGGGCTAAAGGTGGATCAGATGTCAGGTTAAGGGCAGCCAGGAGCAAAGATTATCCCAGATTTCTGGCATGAGAAATTCAACACTGGTGACATCTATTAAGGAGAGGAACCCTGTAAGAATTTGGATGGATTGTGAATTTCATGTTGGATATGTTGACTGAAAAGTGCTTGTGAAATATCCAGCTGGAGGTGCAGAGGTGGTTGGATGGGTGGGCCTACAACTATAAATTCAGTATTCTATCAATGTATTTGGAATACAGATGGAAATTAAAGCCAGGAGCTTGGATAAGGGCACTTCAGGAGAAACTGTGGTATTAGACAAGGGCCTAGTGCTGAGCACGGAAGAAATCCATCATGAAAAACTGGTGCAGAGCAGACAGGAAAACTGGTGAGATGCACAAGTGTGGGAGCAGGCTCCAGCGTGGCCTCCAGTGACCCCACCTCCTGGTTTTCTTATCCTAGAGGATCCTCCCACGTGGAGGCCGCCAGCCAGGGCAGCCCATACATTGTGGAAATGACAGTGCACAACCAAGGTGGTGGCTAAAATCTTCTAAGACTTTAGAGATCTAAACTGCTGCCTCTGGTTCAAACCTAAACAGGTCTGGTTCAAACAGTAAGGTTTCTAAGAAGCTTGAGGGCATTTGTCCCTCAACGGTCTCAGCAGAAACCCATAGTATAGAATATAGCTCAGAGAAATATGTGGGTGGGGCTTTTGCCTAATAGAGTGAACTTCAGTGTGATTCCTAGAAGACACATAAAGTGTTCACAATAATTAGGATTGAACGGGATACACTACAAAAGGGAAAGAGGACTTTCAGTTCAGTTCAGTCGCCCAGTCATGTCCGACTCTTTGAGACCCCATGAACGGCAGCACGCCAGGCTTCCCTTTCCATCACCAACTCCTGGAGCTTGCTCAAACTCATGTCCATCGAGTCGGTGATGCTACCCAACCATCTCATCCTCCGTTGTCCCCTTCTCCTCCTGCCTTTGATCTTTCCCGTCATCAGGGTCTTTTTCAAGGAGTCAGTTCTTTGCTTGGATCCCCTCAAATTCTACCGAGGGGAAGCAGGCTGAGAAAATTATGTAGCTGTAAATATAGGCTACCTTTCATGGAAGAGGAAAGATGAGTCAGATGGTGAAGGTCAGCCTCCAAGATGGGACCCCCACACTCCTCCTTCGTTATGTGTACTGAATACCACACTGAGGACTGCCCTGTGCAAACTGTACAGAGTGTGGAGTGCACTGTATGACTTTTGAGGACAAGTCATGAAAGACACTGCAGCTGCCACTTTGCTTTCTTCAATCACCTGCTCTAGGGGGAAGCCAGTTGCCATGTCATGAGGATGCCACATAGTGAGTCCTATGGAGATGCTCACATGCTGAGGAACTGAGGTCTCCTGCCCACAGTAATGTGGATGATCCTGAAAATGGATCCTCTAGCTTCAGTCAAGCTTTCTGATGACTGCAGTGCCAGTGAACGTCAGGAGACCCTAAACTAGAGCTTACCCAGGTAGGCCACACCCAGATACCTGGCCCACAGCAACTAAGAAGTAATATTTGTTATTTTAGGATGATATGTCTTGGGGGGTAATTTGTTATGTAACAATAAATCATTAATACAAGGAGAAAGGCCAGAAGAGGGCGAGTTTATGAAAAGTAAGTGGACTGTGTTTCAAAGTGACAGTGGACAACTGTGTCAAATGTTGTAAAAGGTCAAATGTCTCATATTTAGATGACAATGAAGCTCATTTATCAATTTCATTTAGATACCTTCATTGTAGAAAACATAAGCAAGGAAAATCCACTGTGCTCGGTATAGTTGGCTCTACAGTGGTAGAACCATCTACCATTCTTTTGAAGGACTTCATTAAACTGTTGTGAAAGCCTGCGAGGCCCCTCAGCGGCAGCAAATAGACGCCTCACTGCACTTAGCTGGCCTCTCAGTCACCTTCTTGCACGGACACCCCTTGTCCCTGCTGGGCCGCGCCTCTGTAAAGGGCATGGACACCTGTCCTGTAGCGCCTGGCGTGTTAGATATGCTGCAAGTGCTCAGACAATCTGGAAACTGAGAGTGTTAGTCATTTAGTCATGTCCAACTCTTTGTGACCCTGTGGATGGCAGCCTGCCAGGCTCCTCTCTCCATGGAATTCCCCAGGCAAGATTACTGAAGTGGGTTGCCATTCCCTTCTCCAGGGGATCTTCCTGACCCAGGGATTGAACCTCTGTCTCTTGTGTCTCCTGTATTGGCAGGCAGATTCTTTACCATTGTGCCACCTGGGAAGCCAACAGGTGGGTTAATAGAAAGGGTAAATACAGTCCTATTTTCCAAAGGAGGCAACTGAGGCCCTACAGAGGCTACAATTACTTGGTTAAGACCACACAAAATATTCATGGTTGCAGATCCTCTGGTATCAAGTTGAGCACTTTTTCCAAAATGTCCAGGCAGGATGCACCAGGGCCTCTTCATCCAGCACCCTCCTCCTATAAATACTCTCATACTAACATGACTTTCCATAGCCATGTGTCCTTACAGCATAGGAATGCTGTCCTTTCTGTAGTTGGAATCACAACATGGGTGAAGACGTTGTCTTCTTTACACTTCGGTTCCCGTGTGACAGTACAACTTGAATGTCTGCCACAGCGGTGCCCGTGGGCACCTGGACAATGCCACTATTGTTCAGAACATTCTTCATTGGAAGAGGCCTTCAGAGAACAGAAATTCTCCCCAGTAAGAAAACCAATCTATTAGTTGAGAGTTATGCTTTATTTTTTAATTGCAAATGGTATCATTAGCTTGAATATTCTCATCAATCATCAGATTTTTAGCTGTTCCCAGATTTCAATCTCTCCTTGGAGACCACAACTTTATCAACACTGAATATATTTAGGAACACTTGTTATAGACTCTGAAGGCATGTCACAAAGGTATTCCAGAAAGGTCACTAGCAATAGCACCCTCTAAACAGAATACCCAGAGGAAGAAAACCCTCATAAGGAATGTATAATAATCAATATTGATAAAAATAATGGCTTGTTAAGTGTGGTGAATGGCACTTTATATACCTGGTCTAATTTAACCCTCCAAAAAATCCTGTGAGGTAAGATAAAGGTCTATTCATTTCAACATCAAACATTACCATGTGGTTACACAGGTATAACACCTTCATGTCATGAAGGGCAAAAACTCATTCTTAGAACATACACTGTGACTAGCAACCACTTCCTCTGCAAAAGCGACCATCTTCTCAGGGGCTTGGGCTGTCGGGACATAGTTCAACTTGGTGTTTTTCACAGAAGTACAAGCCTGTTAGCATTTTGCCATTCCCATATCAGTGTGTGTTTCAACCTCTGTGAAGTCAATGCAGAACATATGGAATGAAAATAAGTACATTTTTGGCTTCTGAGAAATTCAAGTAAGACTTTTCCCATCTGAGGGAGTTTAGCTCTGTGGGCTTCAGAATGATGTCTACTGTCCATGTCTGAAGGAGGAGGACCCAAGGAACCGAATCACAAACTTATCCTGGTTTCTATTTTCTCCCTTCAGGATGTGTGCAGGGAGGTAGGAAATGAAGACTTAATCCAGGAATCAAATTTTTTTTTTTGGCTATGCCACATAGCGCATGGGATCTTAATTCTCCAACCAGAGAGCGAACCCACACCTCCTGCACTGAAAACTCAGTCTTAACCACTGGACAGCCAGGGTGAACTCCCCTAAGAATTTATTCCTAAGTAACAACTTGAAGATCCAAGTGTTTACATCAGTATCTATTATCTACTTTTAAAACTTGTGATTCCTGACAACCACCTCAGTGCCGCTCCTCCTTCACACCGACAGGATCACGGAAGCAGCAGCCACGCGAGAACCACTGTGACCAGGAGCAAGATCACCAGCCCATCCCTAACAAGACACTTGGAGTCACGACTCCCAGGACGTCTGCCGTGACCGTGGGCTTTAAACCACTCGACTGCCTCCTGGAGGTCAAACGGCAGAGCCTCATACCCCAGCTCCTTCTTGGCTTTCTCCAGGCTAAAGTAATGTGTGACGCCGGTTTTGTAAACTTCGGTGCGGGTGAGGAAGGGCTGAAAGTTGTAGAGTCGCCCCAAGATGAAGTGGGTCATCTCGGTCAGGAAAGCGAAGCAATAGATGAGGGTCAGGGGCAGGCGGATGGACGGGAACTTGTAGCCCAGGCCCTCAACCAGAGGCCGGAAGAACTCAAAGTTGTTCACGGGCCTGCCGTCTGAGATGAAGTAGGGCTGCCCAGCGGCAATGTGGCCCTTGTTGGCTTTCAGGGCCTCTGAGGCCAGGATGTGAGCCTGCACCAAGTTGTCTACGTGGACAAATTCCACCAGACTCTTGGGGTCTCCGTACACAAACCTGAACAGGCCCTTCTCTATGTAGTTCACTATCCTGGGGAGGTGCCTCTGTTCTCCAGGCCCGTAGATGCCAGCCGGCCTCAGGGCACAGGTGCTCAAGACCCCACCACCCCTCTCCAGGGCTGTACCGTTGGCTGACAGCACCTTCTTCTCAGCGATAGATTTGGTCCGAGAGTAGTGATCAGGATGGAGGTGAAGGGGCAGGTAAGGCAGAGATTCATCTCCATTTCTGATGACCTGCCCTCCAAAGATGACGTTGAAAGTGCTCGTGTACACTAACCTCGGCACCCCTCTCCTCCTGCAGGCCTGGAGGATGTTGTCTGTGCCCCCCACGTTGACTTCTTCAATCAGGCTTCGATTCAGTTGCTCGCGCCCCGACATACCGTAAGAAGCAATATGGAACACACAAGCCACGTCGACACCCTGGAAGGCGTTTTCTATGTCAGAGAGATGGCGTATGTCTCCCAGCATAAACTGGATGCCTTCTGGAATGGTCTGAGCAGGGCGGCTGATGTCAAACAGAATCACATGGACTCCCTGTTGGTTCAGAGCACAGCCAAGGCTGCAAGACGAGAGTAAATGTTAGATCAAATCACTATTAAGCTATGCCTTGAAAAAGTATATAATCTTCCCAGTCTCTTTGGCTTATCCTGTGAGTTCCTCACTTTACAGGTTCATTGGTACAAGTCTTGCTTATGCAAATATTAAAAAACAAGCATCTTCACATTTAAGTTACAAAGAGAGAGGCTTTAAAAAAAAAAAAAAGAGAGGCTTTATCTTCAAAGATGGTGGTGTCCACATATTACATTCCCCCAGCCCCCCGTTCCAGGCATGCATGCATGCTGGGCCACTTCAGTCATGCCTGACTCTTTGTGACCCCATGGAATGTAGCCCACCAGGCTCCTCTGTCCATGGGATTCTCCAGGCAAGAATATTGGAGTGGGTTGCATGTTCTCCTCCAGGGAATCTTCCTGACCCAGTGATCAAACCTGCATCTCCTGCAGCTTCCTGTATTGAAGGCGGGTTCTTTACCACTGAGCCACCAGAAAACCCCTCCTCCCCCTGTTCTAGCACCCACCATCTATTCTTCAGAATATTTATGAATGGTAATGTAACTGTGAAAGAATAGCTATTATTTTAAATTGTTTTTTTGTGATATGACTATCTCCCCACCCCCATTCAGTGGTTTTATAAAGGATTTTTCTTCAAGTGGAATGTATCTATAGTTCTCAATTTCCTAATCTGAGCAGTGGGCAGCATGATTCATTCCTGGTCTACACTGTACCAACAAGTAAAAGTCTACACTGCATTAATGTGGGTTGAAAGCTATACTTTTCCCAGCAACTACCAGTAAAATACTTCCATGGACATATTTTGCAGATGCACTGACCGGAATCCAAAATAGCCACCTCCTCCTGTAATGAGGACCGTTTCCTTCGGAGATTTGTGGAAATCCATATGTGGCAGTCAAAGATAACTAGACCTATGAAGAAAGGAAGATGCACCACTGTTACTGACCCAACTGCCAATGCGATGGTCCCCTACTTGGGGTTAACAGACACAAAAATGGCAGTGTGCTCCAACAGAAAGAAAAGCTAAGACCTGGGTTCCCGTCATGGCTTTGTGACATTAGTTGACTCCTGCCCACCCCCCTCCTGTCACTTCTTGGGCTGCACAACATTTCTTCCCGTGTGTCAGCGGGAACAGTAATAATCTGCTCTGCCTGGCAAGGTCAGTGTGAAGGTTAAATAAGATAATGTAGCTGGAAGTGTTTTGAAAAACCACAAAGCACTCTCCAAATAGAAAGAATTATTCTTAATCCGTGGAAAACACTAGAGGCTTTTTGAAAAGTTGTTCGAATTTGGTAGGGAGGGTCATTTTTCGAACCACTACCCCACCCACCAGAAAAATCAAGGACAGAACTCTGAAGCAAATTTCCAACATCTTTTGTTTAAGACAGCACACTGCAGCATAGGTTAATACTGGCTTTTCTGTAAAGAAAAAAAAAAAGTAAAAAAAAGTGTGGAAGTACAAAAAGGTCCTTTATGTAGCAAACCATATTCACCCACCCAGGAAATCTTCTAAGTACTGCGTGTGCTCAGTGCTTTGCTTCTCCCTCCCTCCGCATCTATGCTAACATTATATTATAATTATTATTTTTTCAAGGCTCCAAGACACCTTTCTTTCAAAAACAAGACAAAACAAGCAAAAAGTGGCCCACTCAACTCTTTCCACTTAAGAAAAAATGGAACAGGAGGCTCGCAGGTCCTCAAATGCATTTAAACACACACACACACTTTCTCTCATTCAGTCAAGTAAGTGGAGACAACTGAAAAGTGTGGATAGTTAGGGAGGCTGCAAGCAACCAAGGGTGCTACCATTTGGATGGGTTCATCCCTCTGAGCTGTTGCTGCATTAAAAATCGGAGCTAAAAATAAGCTCCCAGGATTCTGGAGACCGAATGGGAACGTGTATAAGAATTGTCTGATGTAGTACAGGTGCCCCACCGATGTCACTTCTTGAATTTCCTTTTCTTTGACTTCCAGAGTCTAGGGATTCAATTTTTCTCTTACATTCCCACATACCATGATTAGGTCTCTCAGAAGTACAGGGTTACACAAAGCTTGTCAGATTCTTCTGGATAACTCTACTAAGAAGCTTTGCTCTCCAGTAAAGCTAACCAGATCATTCGTGTGGAAATCAGTTGTTGTGACAGCTGAAGACAAGATTCAGCCAGTGACTGTCTCTGTGGCTTGAGGGTGAGAAAATTAGGAAAACTGAGCAAAATGATGTGAAGGATGGCTGAAGTCCCAAGGTCTGACTAAACAGTTGCCATTGTTGTGCTTACAAGAAAATCCATCAAAATTGAATGCCCCAGCATCCTTTTAATATGCGACCTTATGTTTCTATTATTTTTCTGAGTGCAGGATGCTCCCATTCGGATTTGGAATAGCCAGCCATAAAACTTGGTGTAGTCCATTCTATTGCTCAGCATGATCACATGACTTTGTTGTCACTAATGCTGCTTCCCGACACAGAAGGGTGTCCGTCACTGACACTTCAACCCAGACTTCTTACTGTCACCACCATGACCTGGTGGCAACCTCCTTCTCTGACTTCCTCTCACTCTTCTGTTGGGACTCTATGCTCCGCCCCCCTGAACTTTTCCCTTTTCTTGACGATGCCAAGCTCATCTGTGCCCTGAGGCCTATGCGCACTCCTTGCTTCACCTCTGTGTGAACCGCCGATGAGCCAGATCCCTGGCTCGTCTTTCTCAATATTTAGGTCTGCTCAGGTGATCGACGCAGGGGGTAGTTTCTGAAGAGCTCTCCCTTATCTGAACGCTGCTTTGTTTTCTTCATGGCACATTTCATGACCTAAATGTATTTGTTTCCTTTCTGACTACTGATCTCCTTCCAGCAGAATGTGGGTGCCATGAGAACCGAAACCTTCAGCCTTTCTCACTGGCATGTCCCCACCAGAACCTCGGACGCAGTGGATGGCCATCAAGTATTTGCAGAATTCATGGATGATTTGGAACACGGTGAAATACATCCAATTTAGTAAAATGATGATGGGCACAAATTATGCAGGGCCCGCTCGTGTCCAAGAGTCGTCATTGTGTATGCCAATCAGTGCTGCCATTTTCATTTAACTTAGCTCCTAAAAAGAAAAGTTCTGGCATGAAAATGACATAAAGCAAAATGTGACAGAATTCCTGCATTCTGGAGCGTATGCTAGAGGAGACAGGCTTCTGCAAATTAAAGTAGAAGGCAAAACGGAGAAACCAAGATTCCTTCGGGGGAGCCTGCACTCTATCCTGTAGACAACAGTCTCTGCAGGTGTCCAGGAGAGCGGGCTCCCTTCAGTCCTTGTCAAAGATTAAGCTTTACCTGGAGGAGGGAGAGAGTGGAGGTTTGCAGGAGTCTAGGTGAGGGATAATGAAGGGGCAGGGCCAGTGTGCTCAGCTGAGATCACGATGAGGCAGGGGCAGCAGGTGAAGTCTAAGGACGGTGACACCATTAAGCAAAACAGCACTTACAGGTTTTAGAACTGTTCTGTTTGGTTACATGGTTTTCATTAAGAGGATGCCCGGGGTGGGGAGGGAAGGTTAAGATATTTTTCTGTCTTCACACGAATTCCCTGATAAGGAAATCAGAAAATGGACAAGGCTTCAAAGAGCCCAGCTAAGAATTTTCCAACAGAAAATTCTTCGCAGGGACTTCCCTGGTGGTTCAGTGGTTCAGGCTCCGTGCCCCCACTGCAGGTGACTAGGGTTCAATCCCTGGTCAGGGAACTAGATCCCACATGCCACAACTAAGAGTTCGCATGCTGCAACTAAAGATCCTGCAATGAAAGTAAATGAATAAATAAGTATTTTTTAGGAAAGGAAAAAGAAAAAAATTCTTTCAAATCTCTCATTGTCCTTTTTTAAAAAAGTTTTTATTTTATATTGGAGTACAGCCAGTTAACAACACTGTGATAGTTTCAAGCTCACAGCAAAGTCAGTCAGCCATCTATAGACATGTACACGTTCTCCTCCAAACTCCCCTCCCATCCAGGCAGCCACATAACATTGAGCAGAGTTCTCTGTGCTATATGGTAGGTCCTTGTTGGTTATCCATTTTAAATACAGCAGTGTGTATCAATGTCCTTTGTTTTTAAAATTGCACATTCCCGTCCAGTCATAAGACCACAGGCCAGTCCTGGTTCATGTGCACATTAATCACACCAGGAATGAACAAATTCAAATTATTAACGCTTCTGAGTACCTGTCAGGCCTATTCATGTTACTCCTCATTACCGTCCAACTAATTCCAGAATTATCTGGGGCAAGAACCTATGTAACTGAACTGGAGGGTCAGAGGAGTGGTAAGAAGTAAGGAAGATTAATAATTTAGCAAGACAAACGGCAAGGAAAGAAGCCTACCCACCTGGCTGGTGAAACCTTCATAGATGACCAGCCATTAGTGCTACCACCCAGAAGCCACCTCCTCCTTTTCCAGCTGTCTGTATCAGTGAGCACAGAAAAATTGCAGCAAACACATTTCACAGGAAACCAAAAGAAATTCCCATGAACACTAAGCCAGAAGGGAGAAAAGAGGGTCTGTGTGGTTTTCCTTCAAACGGCTGCCTGATTTTTTATATTTCATGGTGGCTGCTTTACTAGTTTCCGTCTGATTCCTTCCAGGGCTGGCACTCAGACCACTGTTTATAATCTCAATTGCTTTAAGGCTCTTTCAAAATGTGGCTTGTTCAGTAATTGCTTCCCTCTGGGTTGGGGGGGGCGGGACACATTTAATCTGAGGAATCATTTTAGCAGATACAGGTTATGATTAAATACACGATCCAAAAAAAAAAAAAAAGGAATCTTAATTATAAACAAGAAAAAATGAAATTTAAAATCCGCCTGACCCCTTGATAATACTAAGATAGAACGAGGGTAATAAAGTTGACATCTCACAGGGAAGTCATGAGAAGAAACTCATAAAAATGACTAGGAGTACTTCAGATTTACAAAGACCTAATTAAATGTGAAGGATCAGTAATAAGAACCTCAGCTTATGCACAAAGTTCCTTCATCCCCAGGGTTCAAGAGGACGATGCTACTGACCCTCTGGTATTAAAATGCAACATACAAATCTAGGCACTACTGTGTACGGTGAGCAGAACTGAAGACGGCTTTCATAAAGATAAAAATTTACTGTATTTATTTTAAAGGGAGATAAAAATATATCCAGGTAGCTTAATCCTATGATGGCATGTTTTAAATTACTGCCCAGGTACTGAATGGAGGCAAAAGTTAACTGTGTTCGTACTGAGATCAGGAGAGTGTATTGAAGCTAGAGGGTTTAGAAATGGTGCTGCTCAAATTCCACACATGATCTGAAAGTTAACTGCATTTAATACAAAGCAGTCAGAGCCGTAAGGATGAACAAGTAGTTAGAGGCCATAAGGAGAGTCACCCTGATACAGGTAAAAGGGATGTGAGGTGTAAAACCTAAAAGGCCAAACACATCTGCGAAGAAAATTAACAGCACAGCATTAAGTGGAAAGTTGACACAATCATAACAAACAGAGGTATTTGCAGTTTTGAGTTTTACTGGCAGTGGCAGGGAAGTTAATTCTATCACCTGATCTTCTTGTCCAGCTACCCGCTCAAACTCCGTTTGCCTAGATATTTGTGTTAGGTAGGTAGAACAGGAAACAGGAGTCCAGAATGGCCGTGGCTAAAAGACAAGGAAGGGAAAAGGCTGGGAAAATAGAACAAAGGAAGGTCAAAGGAAGGCCCGAGGTCCGAGTGAGACCTCAGGTAGAACAAACAGCGCTCCTGGCTAGCCCCATTTACAGAGGGGAGGCCCGGGGAGGAAAAACATATAGGAGGAGGAGCCAAAGCGCGCTCCCCCACTCTCTTCTCTTCGCGTCTTTGGGTCAGCATGCCCTCATGCCTCGGGGAT